GTTTTTGTACCCGTCTGTGTTTTTAACATGAAGTCAAGGTGTTTTGGAACACGTCTCTTTGTGTTTTTAGCATGACGTCAAGGTGTTTTGGTACCTGTCGCTTTGTGATGTCAGGTGTTATTGGTACCTGTTGGCGAGCGTGTCAATGTGCTCCCTGATGCGTTCAGAGTAGATGTTGCTCTGGCTGATCAGACTTTCTCCCGCCTCAATCACAGCCTTTATCCTGTGCAGGTTTAGCTCCATGGTGGTGGTGAACTCCTTGTGTTTCTTTATTGCGACTTCTACCGTCTCCACTGTGGTGGGGAGCTCCACGTGAGCGAGGGCTGATTCCTGCAGCGAGACGACCAGAGACATCATGAGGTGACATCAGCTCATCCAGTCAGAGGATAAAATGAATAGGAACAGGAAGAGCTCACAATGAAAAATAAAATAAAACAAAAAAAAGCATTTTCAATAATGGGGGATAAATGAATGACTGCAAAACTGTAGCTAAAAGCTTAAAGTAGCAAAACTGTAATAAAATTATAGACTAGTAAAACTGTAGTTAAAAACTAACATACAACTGTACTTAAAAAAAAAGAAACTGTAGCTAAAAGATGAAATAAGTAACAATTCAGCTAAAAGACAAATTTAGCTAAATCCTACCGAAATGCAGAAATTGGCAAAAAAAAAGAAGAAGCTAAAACTACCAAAACAGTTGCTAAAGATAAATTAAATTTTAACAGTCACTAAAATTAATAAATCGTAACTAGTGAATCAGTTTCTGTCAGCTGCTCTGTCCTTCAGGGGTCGCCACAGCGAATCAACTTGCATGAAAGATTTGACAAGTGTCTTACGCTGGACACTCCAGACGCAACCTGGGCTCGAACCCGCAACCTCAGGATTATAAGACCATGGCACTGAACACCAAGCTACCACAGCCACAAATTAGTAAAATGTAACTAAAAGCTAAAATGAACAAAACAGTAGCTAACGCTAAAATTATCAAATAAGATGCTAACAGCTATAAATAGCAAAACTTTAGCTCAAAGATGAAATGAGCAAAATCTAATAACAGAAAAACCTAAAATCTATCAATATATTGTAGCTAAAAGCTAATATTAGCAACAGTACAGTAAAGCTAAAAAGAGTTAAAAAAAAAAAAACTAGAGCAAGCTCGCTGAAGTAGATTTCAGAGAAGAATGTTTTTGGAAGAGTTGGAGATTTTTTTTTAATATTTCTGGAGTCATTTAAAAAAAAATTCCAATAAAGTTAAAATAGCACAAACTATAAAGTACTTTGCTACAAATGTGCAGAAAAAACAAACAAACAGGAAAACAATAGTTCTGATGCTGCATCGGCATGAACTCAAATATCAAATATTCACACAAATAATACAGAAAAATAAATAACTGATTTAATGTTAACAATTTAGATCAAATATTTATGTATATTTTAATAAAAAAGATAAAAAATAACTAAAACCTTTAAAAACTCATGTGGGAAACAATAAATATTTAGGTTTTTAAATGAATACTGGTATAAAATGTATTTTAAGTCAAAGTCAAAAATATTTCTTGCTCAAAAATTACAAATAATGTAACCATTTGTTTTTATGAAGACATGCATTTGTTGCTGTATAAATGTGGTCCATCTATCTTTAGCAAAATGTTGCATTTTTACATCTCTGTCTTTGTTTGGAGCCAGTTCTGGCACAAAATCAAAGTCAAATCTTGAGTTAAACTGAAAATGAAACATGATGCCTGTGAAAATTAATTTTTGCATCCGAAGTGTTTTAAAATAAATTACAGTCAACAAATTGACAGAAGCTCTTCAGGTTTTTTTTTTCCATTTCAAATCTGTTTTGAAACTAAACTTATTTAAGAAATCATAGAAATATGTGCATATACAGATATGCACGATAAATAATATTAAGGCTAAACAATTTAGGAGAAGCAGTAATCTATGACCTTGAAGAGCTGGTACCTGATGAAGATCCATCAACAAACCTAATAAATGTTCTGACCAACACTGTTTTTCCTCACCTGGTTGTTGAGGAAGGACTCGGCCTGTTTGACGTCTCGCAGGAACAAGTGAAAAATGTGGGCCTGGACCAGAACTTCTCTCCGGCTCTCCCACATCTCGAGGAGCTTGTTCCAGCCGACGTCGAGCTTCTGGAGCCACTGCTGCAGGGCGGCCTGAGGCAGGGGAGCGTCCTCGGACTCCAGCAGCTCGTTCATGGCCTGCAGGCGCTCGTAGTCCTCCTCGTACCTGCAGCCGCAGCAACACGTTAGATAAAAAACATTTAAAAGACAAGGTTGTTGTTCGTCAGCTACGTACCGTCCAATCTCCTCCTTCAGAGCAGCGTGTTTGTTGATGAGTTTCTCTGCTTCTTCCAGGTCGTTGGGCAGCTGGTCAGAAGCAGCAGCCGTCTGAGTCTGGACCAGCCAGGTGAGGAACGAGTCCAGGTCCTGACGGGACAAAAGATGGGTCACAAGTCTGTAGCTTGAGCTGCAGAAATGTCTGCAGGCAGACATACCTAACTCAATAAATCTTAGTACCCTTCCACACTAAATAAATAAAATAACCTGATGCAACTGAAGCCAAAAAGCTCCAGTGTCATCTCATCTGAAGCAGAAACATCTTCCAGAAACTTTGGGGCTTGTCGACATGAATGTTCCTGTCTAGTTTTATGGTTTTTCTACCAACAGTGAAGCTCTCCTGGGTCTTCTTTCATGAAGCGCATTATGAGTCAGAATGTGTCGTTCAGAAACTTTGACCTTAGAGTTCATCATGGATGTTTTCTTTACTCTTTTAAATCCTGTTGGAATATTCATCTGATGAACCTGGGGTCGCATTTCCTCTTGCATCCACATCCTGGACCAGTGATCAACAGCCTGGACCTCGGGACAGCTAAAGACCTGAACACCTCTGTGGGCCAGCCTGGACCACAACTAAAAGCAAATGATGTTTAGATCTAAAGGAGGACACATGAGGCTGCAGGAAGTCAGACAGGTCTACAGGAGTCTGTCCATTCAGGACCTTATAGTTCATCGAAGAAGCTTTAGAACAAACAGGAGGCCGAAGGGAAGCAGCAGCGAGGAGACACGTTCACGCACTTCTTGTTGGTGTTTAAGACGAGCTGCGGCGTTCTGGACCAGCTGCAGTCATAAGAAGAAGCTGGCCTGGCCAACAGAGTTACAGTGATCCAACTGGGAGGCAACAAAAGAGTGAATCACCTGTTCAGTGTCATTAAAAGATAAAAAAACTATTTCACTTGAAGATACATAAAGGGTAAAATCTGTTTCTGAAGGTAAAACTTTAAACCAAGTTTCACCCTCAAATATTTTATGTGAGAGTTTACAAACAGCTCCAAGCTGCATAGATCTATAGGAGAAGCGCTGTGGTTTCCATTGAGACCAAAAATATGAACTTTATGATGATGAATATCATCAGGTGCAGACGTCAGTCATCCAGGACACCAGGAGTTTGTTGGAGTTTGAAGTTTCACCTCCCATCAGAAAGGCTTCTTCAGTTTCCAGCCACTCAACTCTTGTAATTATCATAATAATGATGATGATAATGATGATGGCTCCACCTGTATGAAGCTCTGCAGCCGGCTGGCTACCATCAGTGAGTCCTCACATCCCTGCAGGGTCCGTTTAAGCTCCTCCCACTCCACGCTGATGTCATCGAAGGGAACAAGAATCTCCATTGTTCGACCCAAGTGAGAGGTTGCCAGATGTTCTGCTTCCTCCTAACATCAGCAAACAGGAAAGTTGTTTTAATGATTTTGTTTGAAAATAATCCAATATTTTTACAGCTTAAGCTCATTTTTCTGTCCCTTCGGTACCTGTAGGTGCAGCAGTTTGGGCTCCAGGACCGACAAGGCCCCCTCCATGGTAGTAAGACGTCTCTGCAGAGCCATGACCCCTCCCAAATCGCTGCCGACATACTGGGTGGCGTCAATGGCTTTCCTCTTCTCCTGTATTTGGGATTTTATCTCCTGGCACTCGAGCAGGTAGTTCTGCAGACGTAACATCGAGTCGAGCTGATCTTTTTTCTGCTCCACAAGCTCCACGATGCTGTTCCACCTGGAGCCCCATAAAACAAATTATACTTAGAACAAACAAACCAAATGTCAAACTGCACAGGCTTTATTTATTTTAAATATAGTGGAAACTGCTAAACTTTAATCAGAACTGTTGTAGACTCAACAAAAGGATGCATTTCTTGTAATAAAATGTAAAAATAAAAATAAATAAACTCAAAAGTAAAGTAATTTTGCTTTAAAGGAATGGTTTAATTTAATGAAAGTGGGTGTACATGGAGTAGTTATGAGCAGTCAGTGTCTTACTTGCAGAAGGCAGCAGCATGATTTCAGTTTGCAGAATCAGGGAGGAATTTTTATTTTTATTGTTATAAAAACTATACAAAAAGACATAAGACAAGTCTTTTTGTCTCTAACCATTAGACTATCATAAAACTGCCACAAGTGTTGTTATGTTAATGAATGATTAGTTCATAATTCAGAAACAGGTTTGATACAATCTTGTTGCAGAAATGTAAATGTACTTTAATTAATATTTCTCACTGTAATAAAACTTCTTGTTATGATGACGTGGTTTGGTCTGAGGAAGCCTCTCTGACCCGTGGACCAGTTTGTTGCTGTGGTTTCAGCCCTTTTCTGATTAACATGATGTCATACAATATTTCCTTTGATTTTGCTCCAGACCAGCAGGTCTGACCCAGTCAGCCCAGAATGACCCGTTCACACACAAACACACACACACACACACCGATCCCTGGGACTAGAGTGAGGTAATGGCAGAGTGGCAGGGAGGCAGGAGAACATCTGAGTGAACTGACGTCAGAGTTGTCTTCTAGACAGCAAGGTTACCGTGATTTAAAACGTTAGGTGTGAATGTGAGACGTGTCGCAGCCTTAATGTAGTTTGTGCAAATTTTAATAGCTTTACTGTCAAACTACTTCGACACACTTTGTTCTTATTTAGCCTTTCATATGTCCAAAGGTTCAGCTCATTCAAGAGTAGGGTGCTGTGACTTTTAGTTTTTGTCATTCTTAAATTTTACAAAATATTAAACTTTATTTTAAAATAATTCTTCATAAAAATACATTAAGGTCTCTTCAATTCATTAAAAAAACTGTCATTATAAACTGGCTCTAATTTTGTCTTCTTATGCTACTTTTTACTTTTAGCTAGTCTTCAGCTACTTTTAGCTACTAGCTATTTTTTATACTTTAAGCTAGCCTTTTGTTACTTTAAGCTTTTGCTGCTTTCAGCTTTTAGTTAGCCTTTTCTTACATTTAGCGTTAAGTTACCCTTTTGCTACTTTTAGCTTCTAGCTTTTCTCTTAGTATTCCGAGTTAGCCATTTTCTACTTTTGGCTTTTAGTTGTTTTACCTGGCCTTTTGCTACTGTTAGAAACCGTTTGCTGTTTTAAGCAAGTGCCTTGTTACATTTAGCTTTAAGTTAGCATCTTGCCTTTTAAGCTAGTGTTTTGAGTCTTTCTTTTAATTTTAACTACTTTGCTTCAGCTTCTGTAGAGAATTTTCACAAAAAATGTAATTTTTCCAGTTTCATATTTAAGGTTTGCTTCGACATTTATTACACAATATTTTCCTCCAGTTCCAATACGAGCGGTAAACATTTGGTGACGCCTACATACGTTACACGTCAGACCTACTGCATTAACTTAGATTGTAGCTGGTGCTTTTGTATCACCAGAACTATTTCAGTACCTGGAGTTGAGGTGGTCCTGACACCCTCTGACCTCTGTAGAAGACGGATGACCTCCGTCCAGCAGCTGCTGAACTATCTGATTAACGTCCAGGATCCGTCCCATCAAGCTGTTCATCTCCTGATCCAGACTCTCAAACCTGCAACAATCATAAGCGTGGGTCATAAAACGGCTCAAACAAGTCTGATATTCTTCTTCTGCTTCTCCTCACCTGTGTGCCACCACCTCCACGTCCTCCAGTCTCTCAGGGATCTCCATCTTGTCGAGCCACTGCTCCTTCTCATCGATCCACAGCTCGCAGGCGTTGACCTCGCTGAACATGCGGTAGACCGCGAGAGCATCGTGAAGCCATTGCTGCCTCAGCACCGCGACCTCAGCGACCTCTGTGTACAGCTGCTCCACCTCTCCCATACGAACCTGCACCTCCTGCAGACAGAGGCCAGGAGGACACAGAAAGGACAAAACGGTTTTAAAAACACTACTGAGAACAATGAAAACATCTTTCCAGTTGAGGTGTTCACACCTCCTCTTCACGGTATCTCAGAGCCAGCGCCACCACGTGTTTGCGCAGCGCCACTACATGGAAACGATGTTTGTCGATGGCTTCGGTGACGCCTCTGTGTTTCTTCAGCAGCGACTGCGTGGAGTACTCGTCGTGCCCGAAGTCTTCGCTGGAAACCAGGCGGTAGGCGTCCTGCAGCCAGGTCGCCACGTCGTCAGTTTCCGTGGAGAACTGGAAGAAGTTGAGGGACTCCTGCAGGTGGTTGAGATGCTGCGCCGCCTGGTCCTCCAGCTTCTTCCACTCGCCTTTAACCTCCATGATGTGCTCCTGGATCCCCGCAGCGCAAAAGCTCTTTTCACTCAGAATCTGCTTCCCGCGCTTTATGGTGTTCTGGAGAAGAAGGAATAACAACAAAGACTCTTTCAATAACTTTCAAGGTTTAGATTCATTCACATGGCCAGAAAAAAACCTTTCTGAAGACTTGAAACTCTGACAAATGTTTTAGTAATCAGTGTGTTTATTAGCTGCATGTTCTAATTAAATCTGACTTCAATCTAGGACTTATTAAGCCACGAAGCACTGACCCAAATGTATAGTTTATCTTGAAATTTCTCTAGTTTACTACAAATAGAATGCAGTGATGCAAAAAATACAAACAAATACATCAAAGATCTGAATCAGATCTACTAGTGTTTTTTTTCTTTTTTTTTAAAGTTAGACAATTATTACTACTTTGTGTTAACAACAACAACAATAACAACATAATAACAACATAATAACCAAAAGCTTAAGAAACCAGCTTCAGTATTCATCATAAAAACAACTCATATGGGTCCACCTTTACTCTACGGTAAGCATACATCTGACCTTTTTCCCTGTTTCTTCATTAGTGGTTAGGAAAATATAATTTTTACACAAAATCCACACATTTATTTAGTACCTTAAAATAATTATACTCCTGTCTCAAAACAGGAAAACCAAAAAGTCAGTAATAATAATAAAAAAAACTGCACAAATAAAACCTAACAAGTTTAAAACAAGTAGTTTTTATTTAAATAAACGCATACTAGAGTTGCATTTGGGTCTAAAAAATCTGGCCTGGCCCGAACCCGTATAATTTTTTTCGAGCGCGAACCAAAACCGACAGATTAACTGTAATTACAGGCCTGAA